ATAGAAAGACATTTTTAATTCTCGTCGTTGTCATGGATTGAATATTGGGTGCTCTCGTAGTATGTGCACGGAGATGGCGTACACCGGAACGTAGTATGTGTACCAGGCTAGGGTTAGGCCACAATTTTCGTCCCAATTTTTCTCATTTAATTCTATTACGAGTTTGGGGCCTAGTCAAATGACTCCCGTAGTATTTATACCAGAAATTATGGCCTAACACTAGTTTGGTATACATACTACGTTCTGGTGTCCTCAATTTTGGTACACATACTACGGGAGCGCCGAATATTGTGCGACAGAAAAGGCTTGTTATACACTAAAAAAGTCGGCTCTTATAATTTTAAAATTTGTGTGTTTGGTTTTAGTGCTTTTTCACACAGAGTACGGTTGCAATAATCGCATCTTGAGTCCGCAAAGGTTTTCGCCCGTGAGAAAATAGTCCGCGACGAAAAAAGGTTGGGAAACGCTGGACTAGGTCCTGCCTGCACAAGACAATTCATTCTCTTTTTACCGATCACAAGACGTCATTCCTACATACATATAGCCATCGTCTTGACATTTATAGATATAACAATGAAATTCCGTGATTCTAACAAACATAAATCCCGACATCGGGATCAGGAAAACGACCATTCCCAGTTGGAATAGTTTTAAAAAAATCAAAATTGTTCTGCTAATAAGTACAAATTTCTGCCAATGGTTTAATAGCGTACGCTAAAACTGTTCTGCGAGCTGCACGGAATTTGTCGGCGGGCCGCAGTTTGGTCCCTCTGAGCTATCTTGTCTCACACCTCACGTGTGGTTGATAGAGTTCCGAGCCGAGCAAAACCGCCTAAGCCCTAAATTAAGGGCCCTTTGAAAATGTACTTTCGAAGTATGTGTATCAGGTTAGGGTTAGGCCAGTGGTTCACAAACTTCTTGAAAATAATTTCATGACAGACCCCTTTTTTTATTGATTCGCGGCCATGTGCACTAAAACAAAAAATTAAAAGATCACTACAAAAAATCAATGCGCCGTATAGTGAAACAACCAAAATAATATAAAGCGCATCTCTAATGACATGTGTGACATCCAGTCTGTTTCGATATTTGGCAAACGTGCAACAGGACAGCGTCAGCTACGGCTCTGCATTTAGTAAACTTGTGGTGACATGAATTGAACTCTTTCTGTAATATCACAGGCCAACAGCTCTGTGACATTACAATGGGGCATTGTGATCGAAACAGAAGTGAAGAATCAGTGTCTCCGGCGGTGATTGCGAAGCACGAGCATTAAAATGTTGTGTTCCGTGGGGCAGAAGTATCGCAAGCACCTCAAGTTTTGCTTAGGAGAAAAGCAGCAATGGGCAAACAAGCTGGAACAGCGCTTCCTAAACTTTTTTGGCCACGGAACACTTACACTTTGTATCTCGCCTCGCGGAACACCAACAATTGAAAGGCTAAAATTGATAAATAAAATTGGTCTAATTCAGCGGTTCCCAATTGGTTCGTCGTGGCGAGTTGCTAAATGCGCCGCGAAAACTAACAGAGTTGTGTAAAACATACCTAAAATATGATGGAATATTTTACATAGTGAATTATTTATATTTGTTTTATTGTTTCCTGATTTAGATGCTGTGTATACGAATCAATAAATTCATTTTACCATTTTTTACCGTTTACTTTTCATTACGTAGTGTTTGACTCTGATGTTACGTAACAATGGAGATTCAGGTGGCGGTTATGACTGACATGTGCAAAATTCGTTATGATACGTTCTCTACCAGTACTTAGATAGAGACCCGCCCGCATTAGGCGAAAGTAGGCTTACCATCAGTCACGTTTTAGGCGGGACATTCCTACTTTTTAACGTCTTGTCCCGACATCCCGACAGGTGATCCAAAAGTCCCTCTTCGGCGTTCAGCCAGTCGGCATAATTGACGAACTTCACAAATTAGCATGTTCTATTTGAGGTTGCTTAACGTTGGCGTAAATTCCCTTCTATTTTTCGAACTGAAACCGATATTTAGACAGGCAGCGCATGAACTCCCGTTGACGACATGGTCAATGAAGACAGTCGGGATGGTTTTATATGTAGGCCTCCCTGATGTAAAATCGGTAAATTTAAAAAATCACAGCTATGGTCTTTAGAGGCGTCCCGCTTTGAGGTCACAAAAATATGGTAACTCTAGGCCGAAGGTGACGCGATATTAAACGGTTGCCAGCAAAGTGACTATAAACCAAGTGGATACACGAAGTGCAATGATGCATATCGGACGCCATTTTGTGTCCAGCAAATCGGCGAGTCCAGGTTTCTTTCGTCAATTTGTTACTGTTTTGCATTTTATTCGGGTAAATTCAGTATTTTTCTTTTGCTATTTGCTTAGTGAAAGTTACTGGTACCGTGCGGTTTCGTGAAATCGATAGTTATCTTATCATCTCTTGCGAGTTATGCAAATTTGAAACCTCATATCTCCCGAACCTTATATTATATTCAGATAAGTTTTATATTGTTTGAGAGACAATCCAGGAGACTAATTATAATTATGAGATGGAGACACAATGTCGCGATCATCGTACAAAAATCGGCAAAATTGGAAAACGTGAAATTTTTTTGAAAAGCTTTTGAATTATATAACAAAAACTTCGATTTGTTCTTGTTTCAACCTGATATGATATCAACACATTTGTAGAGATTAAAGATAGATTTCGAATGGTACCATAAGATCGAATTTATCGTGCACCAGTTAGCTTGTATAAGCTAATTTATTCAATGTTCTCCAATTCTTCACATGTTCGCTGCGCCAACCTGAGTTAAACAATGACGTTCCCTAATTACTTCGTTACGCAATCACGTTGCAACGTTGAAGCTCTGCGTTCCTTATGAAAAACACATATCGCTTTCCCCCGCAAGTGTAAAACGTCATCAACCTAAAGCACACGTTTAAATCAGGTATTATTTGAAGTGGGATTTTCTCGGGAAAATTTTTCTTATTTTTACGAGCTGTTGCAACAGTTGCTCAGTTGGAATATTTACTAGGTTATCTAGCGACGTCATCATGTCTTTCACGTTCTCGTTGATAAAACCAAATTGTAATTTTAATTATATCCAACAGTGAAAAATTAGCCCTGATGTTTCCGGCGGAACCCTATAAAGTTGGGGTTCAAATTGTTTGTTTGTTTCTATGGAAATCCCGATGAATGCCCACAATTGTTACTTACTATTTTTCGGTCTTACACACGTGATCAAAATTTTAAAATTGATAGTTTTACCGAATATTTATGCCACCCATCCAAAAAAGAAATCGTATTTTTGCGCGAAGTAATAACTATATTTTGCGCCAATATTAATGCCTTTCATAATATATGTTCGCCAGTTACTTTTCTGACAGATAAAATTGATAGCTCGAAATATAATTTCCCTTTTTGCCACAATGCCGCTTATTAATTTTGAAACATTTTCTCAATATAAGGTTAAATATTCACGCAAAAGAGAGACAAATAAAATCATTGAAAAACAGTAGTAGCAAAACTGCAGCAAGAGCTCAGGTCAAATAGGCAATATATTATTTTATACACTCCGTATTATCAGTTGTTCTTGTAACCTTGTTATATGCCGTTATCCTGCATTCCATGCATGTAGTATATATATTTTTCTAATATATTTTGGCAATGTAACCTTGTTGAAAATTTGCGATACGCATATTTTAATACCATGACATGTACAAATGGTTGCAAGTTTCTGTAGTGTAATTTGTATTGTAGTTCTGTGCAAGTAGCGATACTTACATCGGGAATTTCTATAATAAAATGTGTATCTCTTTGTTTAATATTTCTGGTATTATTGGGTGTTGATTTATCCAGTGAAATTGGATGACTTTAACCTTAACTTCGTATATGCTGACAATACCGCCGACCCGAGTTTTCTGAGAAACATCTTCGGAAAGTTAATTTTCAGAAGTAAGGTGCATTCGTTTTGACAACATATGTGCAAAAAGAAACTAGTATATTTGAAAAATTTAGTCTATCATTAAAAACATGGATGAAATAAACATTGTACGTTACCCAAGCAAACAGCATGCGGAAAGACACCAATTTAGTGAAGTGCAATATCATTTAATTTTGAAATTGGTAAGCATACTGGCTCTTTACAAAGACACGAAAGATAGCTACGTATTCTTACTCGATCTGAGACCAAAATTATGTACCATGAGTGAAGTGACTTACTGGTTGCGGTATATGGTTTGGATCCATTAGAGCCCGTTTGACCCTGATGTTTGCGAGATGAATGATTTGGTTATTGTATGAATGGCACATGGCCATGCACTGACGTGGTGGGGAAAATAACAAGTTCAATATTTACAGAATCTCTATCTATTTATTTATCCATAGCAATGTACTCAAGTAAAAAAAGTGTATCATGTGTTATCCGGGTCATAGGTTGTCCGAGATATAACTTTGAACTCGAAACAGTATGGAAAACAATAGGTTTATTGTGCTGAATATTCGAAGTGAAAAAGCTTGTTTATACATGTGTTGTATATGTCAACGGTTTTCATTGTAATGCTTTTATCGTTTAAATTTATATCTGATAAAATTCCATACATCGTTAATATTTCAAACAATCTACGAAATCATAATATTAATTGCGGTCGCGCGTCTGTATTTTTATCAGATTGTCTGCGAAGATTGTTACCGAGTATTTTTCATAGTCAGATTTTTAAAATTCAATTTCGATTTGAATTTTAAATATAGAACATAAGAGCAGTTGTATATCTTTCAGTGTCGAATGTTTTTCACGTATTAGTTTATCGTGTCAACTGTCAGTATTGTTTATTGTAATGCTTCGAGCGTTTAAAATCAATTCTGATAAAATCAAATTCCACATATCGTTGGTAATTGAGTAACTTGTCAAATCCACTGTCATTTTGAATTCAATTTTTCAAGCTTTTCAAATATTTTAATGTTTTTTAATTATCGCAACATTTTATCATATTTTTACAATTATATTTAGTCTTGGAGGTTATTTCACACAAAACTTGTCTGAATATATAGTATACGGTTTGCGAGATATGATGGTGTCAAAGCTGCACACTTCTTACCGGATGCCCATGAAGATTTTTGGGGTTCAAAGAGTTGAAATCCGATTAGAGAGCATCACGTCATGTTTTTTCATTTCTTTGTCACCAGGTGAGATTGTCATGTAGTACATTTACGTCTCTCGCTTTTAAACCTAATATAAACTTTCGGTATCGTTCCTGAATTTTTATCTAGTGTGTTTGTCTCGTTATTTGATACCATGGTGAGGTTCAAAATAAAATATTTGGGCTACTTGGTTTGCTAAACAATTACAAGGACTCGGACAGGAGGCAAACTAATAAACAGAGTATTTTTTGTTGTTTTCATATGTAAAAAGTGAATAGCAAAATTTAAGATCAAGCTTCTACACGAAAATATCAAGAGGCATTATTTTTTGTTTTTATATTTAATCATTTTTTAATTAATCTCTGAATCTCAGCGTTTTCCATTGTGGTTAGTTGTATCAGCCCGGGATAGATACAATTACTACAATAATTTCTCCAAACCCACGATCTTATGCACGAACTAATCGACTGTTTGATAATGTAGCCATCAAGTCTCGATAAACCTGAAATACTTGAATAAACGATTTTTTTCTCTTATCGCGTTATCCTGAGGGAAAATACATTTTTAAGGCCCGATTTAAATTTGAGATCCGAGTTTAGATATTATTAGTGAGGTGAGAGCAGCTTCGTCAAACTCTGCCAAGATGGATAAATATTTGTGCTCCGCAATCCTATTCTCGTTTGCTCTTGCTGCAAATGGACAATTATCTGGCACGGGTTCGTGTTTTTTATTATCACAACTTTGTTAGTTATCAATTTAGTAATTGGTTTATGTTGACCTAACAAATTATCAGATATGCTATATTGAGGTTACAGATTGCGAACAAGTGCGTATGTTAAATGTTATGAGAGCAACATATTGATTGATGATATATATGTATGATACATATAATGTATATGCAGTGGAGATTAATAATTGAATTTTGTTTTGGTTTCAACATTCGATGAGAGGCTGTTGTTGCAAACTCTAAGTTTTCGTGGCTTACGTCTACGCGTGTTTATTTTTCGACTCTCAATCTTTCGGTTTGATGGTGAACTATCGGCCATTAAAATACTCCTTCGGAGCCGGGGTGTTCAGTAATTCTTTCACGTCTGATCACACCAAGCGCAAAGTACTGGTCAATTCGGTGGCGTATCTGGGGTGTGGCAGCCTTGGCTCGTGTCATGGGCGTCGTTTGAACAGGGGCGCAATAACAGAGAAAATTATTAATCATGAAAAGTTTCAACGAAATAATTTCAAATTGGTAATAACTGAAACTCTTATTTTACCAAATAATAACGTACGAGTACGCCAATTCGCTGATAGTCAATATAAATTGTCAAACAACTATCAAGATGGCGCGTTTTTAGACTCTGCCATGGGCGCCATTTTGCGCAGATACGCCACCGTTAGTCATCATCGTATTGGAGAACTATCTATGTGATTGTGTTATTCTGTCAAAACAAACCGACCGTATATTTCATTTTAGGAGACCCATGCACTACGGGAGACGATTGCACTGCAGTAAATGAAATTTGCCATTTTGTCGACGACGCCAATTGTCATTGTCCAGTTGGATTCAAAGGAGTCGACTGCAAAGAACGTAAGTGGAAGTAAATACAGGGTGTCTCAAAAGCAAGTAAACACTTTTAATTTTGATTTGCTTCTCAGGTACTCGTCATAGAGCGTTCATTTTTCTAGAAAACATAGTATGGATAAGTATTAAAATTTAAGTATTGTTTGTATTTTTTATCAACCACCCTTAATTTTACTACTTATCTATACCATGTTTTCTGAAGAAATGAACGCTCTATGATAAGTACCTGAAAAGTAAATCAAAATTAAAAGTGTGTACTTACTTTTGAGACACTCTGTATTGTAGAACTCACTCAAATATGCATAACCATGAGTTATAGATTCTGAGAAGCATCAAATACTCTCGTTATATTTGAAATGAATGGGTATGGATTTTGCTATTTAGAGTTAAGAATGGCATTCAATAACGATTCGATGACACAGACCACATAGAGAAATATAAAGATTATTTGGATACTCCTGAAGTTTGCGTACCTAGATGGCAGACACCGGAACGTAGTATGTGTACCAGGTTAGGCTTGACGTAGGGTGGTTCACGTAACCGCTGGTCGTATACGGGTTCCTCCACCATCAAGTCCATGCTTCCGAAAACAAAAAACTAACGAATGCCATACCCGACATAGAATGGTAACCGGACGAGAGGCCGTGGTTTGTCATATGGTTAAGCCGTTTTATCGGCTCTCCTCTACCCGGGATAAATATGTAAATCCGATCCCACCAGTAGAAAATTCATTTTCCTAAACGATCTTGAATTACAGCAAAAGGCATATTTTAGTTCAATTGAAATTCGATAGACATTTTGATAGTAGTAAGAGTTTATAAATGAACCTTGTATTGGAAAAAATCCCAACTTACATTCCATTTACAACTTTCAGCTAACACTCAATTTATCGACGAAAAATGTGAACTACCCGAAGTAATACCATCAACATGCGACGATATATCAGACGAGTGCGGAGACGGTTGTTCTGCGGGATTTATATGCTGTTCAACAAGTTGTACAACAACTTGCATACCTGATGACGGTAGGAATTGCTTTTGTCAATCTATCTTCACTTCTCGTCTTGTAATGGATGTTTCCCCCGAGCTTCAATTACCTTTTTTTGTAATATTGGCCAATCAGCAAGATGTAAAAGGTGACGTCACAATAGGTCTTTTTGCATCCGCTCAGACAGCCTTGTCACTCAGAAAGATTTTCAGTCGTGGTAGTAAACAATATCTCGTTTTCGCGATTTTGAATTCATTCGTTAGTTTTTGGTTGTGTTTCGGAAATTTAAGTATGAACCAAATAAGTCGATCATCATTTTGCCTTCAAAAGAGTTGTAGTTTAATCGATGCAGTAATCAAAAATCAGTCTAGAAATAGCTGTCATAAAATTCTCTACCGGTACCTTTAAAAAAGGGTTGAATATTTTAAAACAAAATGATAGTTTGAAATATCTACCCCAGTTTACCTGTGACGATGAGCTTTCAGACTTTCTAATCATGACATTTCTTTATGAATCGATGAATATTTATCCGGAGTCTTGTTAAGACCGAAAGGAAGGGTAATGAAAAGGGTATAATCGTTCTTCAATTAGTATATCTCGGAAGTGATATTATAGGAATTAATTCCGAACTCGATCAGCCCCAAAAAAAAATAATTTCTCATTGTTATTAAATAAAAATGTGACCACAAATGATAAACCAAAATTGGAATGAAGTCATTTTCTTTTTACTTTATAATAACGGGCTGTGGTGGGATAGCGATGGCGCATAAAAATCAAATATTTTTTTACAAAAAGTCTTTCAACTCTGAGAGTCATATTAGAGCACGGATGAGATAAAAGAAATATATTATATTTGCGGAAAAGTGCATTACGTCATTTAGATAATCCGCGATTGTTTGTGTAGCTGATGATCTATTGCGTGTAAGCCGTAAATTTTGTTGGGCGCTCCTGAAAAAGCCATCGATGTTTGGGATTTGAAGGAGCGAGTCATTTGGCACGAAATGGTATAAAACGACTACGCCAAAGAATAAAAATAAACACGACAGATGCTTTTATCAGACCAGAAACCAATGAGCCTAAATTCTAGAGAAATATTATAGTGAGGTCGTGCACTATCAACAATCGATAGCTGAAAGTATACATAGGGCATAGGGGAACAAAAATAAGTTATTTCCAGGGTCCCAAAAAAGGCCACAATTAAATTTTAATTTTTTTTAGTTTATTTACTTTTTTGATTTTATCAGGATTAATTTTAAACACGCTAAGCGTCACAATAAACAATCCGTAATGGCACAGAAGTTCAAAGATTTGACACGCTGTGGCACAACTATTTCGAGTATTATTAAACATGCCCACAGCTTAGAATAGCATTTACATATCCCGAGGGAAAGTAAACCGATAAGACGGATTAGGTCACCAGTCCAAGCCAGTTATTTGGAATTTTGGGAGCATGAACTCGATGGTGGTGGAAGCCGTAGCCGACAAGCGATTACCTGGACCATCCTACAGTTACGAGCAATCCTTTTGCACATTTTTACAAAATAAGACGCAATCACGATTTATAGCTCGTAATCGCGTCGAATGTTTCGACAGGAATGGGAATTTCCGATTTTGTACTGACCAAATTTATATAGACTTGATCTGTATTTTCACAATCTTGCGAATTAGTCAAATTTGAGCTATTCTTGCAAGATTGACTGAACAATCCCAGACAAATCTTGACCCGGATATCCCTGATGGCCGCGCTACTGAATAAATATACAAACATGATGATTTTAAATTTTGATAATACATACAAAGGGGCTCCCGAAGTATGCGAACCAAGATGGCGGACATCGGAATGTAATATGTGTACTAGGTTAGGGTTAGGTCATAATTTTAGGTATAAATACTACGGGAGGGTCTTGGCTAGTCTTCGAACTGATAATAGGACTAAAATGAGGAAAATTGGAAAAAAAATTATCGCCTAACCCTAACCTGTTACGTTCCGATGTACGCCATCTTGGTTCGCATACTTCGGGTGCACCCATACAAATTAGAAAATACATAATGGGGCCTGGGGGGATACATAATATACATTATTCTACCTACTTATGGTGATATTCAAAACCACATTTGCCAATTTATACGCAGAGATGCACCTTGCGTTTAATGCAAATGATATGTCCTCGCGAAACCGTTCGAACGCTCTAGATGGAAAAATGAATAAACTAGAAATCGCTGAAAACAGGGTCCTAATATGTAGTTATATGACGGACTATTCCACAATACGTATGACGCCATAGAAACAATAAATTAGCAAGCTGTGGTCAGACTGTGATTTGGAATAAAGATGCTCATATAAAATTCACTTTCCGGAATACATCATGGGCATAACCATCAATCAAACGGTTGATATTACTTTTGGTTTGAGAATGTCAAGACCTTTTTCACCTTTATTTTTTGAATTGACCTAATTTTCAGATTCGTCAGTGAGTGAAAATATAGATTTTTTAGAATTATATTCTCTTCACTGACTACTCCCTTATGTAAGCATTTTGTGTCGGAAATATATCGGTCATCTTTAACACTTTTGTATATTGTTTACCTTTTAAAGACTGTGTCACGCCAACACGGCGCTAGATACGCATCGACTGATAACCCACGCCCTCAGATTTCATCTTGGAACCCATTTCCAGATAATCCTTTCCACGTTGCACCGTGATTATTTAAAATCTCAAATGTTCGGTCTGATATTTTTGTTATGACAGTAATTTTGTGGCTCACTTATACGTTATAACAAATAAAATTAGGATTTGAAAAATAAATTTTTGCAAACATATTTATTGCAGAGTATATTTCTGTAAAAAGGTTGAAGCTAATTTTAAAAGTCAGATATGTTATTAAAAGGTAGCGCAAGATTAATTAGCTGAAATTGGTAGAGTTGCAGACATTGGAAAAATCGTGTTGAGAGTTAAAAGTTATAAACGCCCTGAGCAAATGATAACAATAATTAGCAAAGTCTAGAAAAAGCCGTCGATGTTTGGGATTATTTAATTTCATCGGAAATAGATCTAAATGCGCCAAGCATCACAATAAATATTCGGTAATAATCCGTACTGGCACGATAATTCAAAGTTGAAAAAAATTGACACAGAGTGGCACAACGATTCTGAGTAGTATTAAACATAATGAGCGACGAATACGTGCATTCAGGATCGCTATCTGTTAATGTTTTCGATGCTTAAGAATATCAAGTCTAAACAATATGGACGGTGCGAGATTCTATCTTCAGAAACATATATAATGAAAACAAGACTTGTTTGTTTGATTTAGCGGAAAAAGATCAATTTGATTCTGTATCAGTAATTACTATAATATTTTCGTAACGTAACCCGCACTTACACTGACTGACACTATTTTCACTTCAGGTACTTTTAATTTTGTCCATTTCTGCTTGAATAAAATTCTTCAGAATTTTAGTTTTCATGTGTGGTTCCAGGCTTTCTGACCTTGGCAAGCAACCACGTTTTTATTAATGTATTTTTTGTCACCATCCATTTATTCCTGTAACGTTATTGGGGTATTTGGTTGTATTAATATTTAAGCACAATAATAGCACAATAATAGCTCAGGCCAAATATTACGTTGTTTTATTGATGTTATGACCTGTCAATTCGTTCTTATTAATAATTCTTAGAATGTACAACGACCGAGCAATGCCCGGAAAATAAAATGTGCGGTAAACAGCCATTTGAACGTAATACCTGTCGTTGCCCAATTGGATATATAGGAGATGATTGTATGGAACGTGAGTATTCGATATTTTGTTTTCATTTCTCGGAATTTCGACTTTATCTAGTCTAGTGATGTGAGAATGAGTGAAACAAAAATATTTGTTCAACAGGAGAAGATGGCGTAGACGACAGATGTCCTTATCCGAATGAGCTGATTGACCTTTGCGAACTTTCCGATCTAGACATCCAATGTAATAGTGAAAACAGATGTCCGGAAGGAGAAACATGTTGCCCAGGAGCTGATGGATGTTCAAGCAGATGTCTTACATTACGTAAGTCCTAGATAATAGTGCTTTTGTCGGTCATTGCTACGCAAGTGTAATTCCTTATGTTATGAGTTTAAAACCAACAGAAAATCATAAGTAACCACTTGTAAACTAATATGGAAATGGCTCAAATCGTTATCTGAATTGTCTCCACTTTTGGAATAAGATATATATTTTTTTTGAAATTGACGACTAATATAGGCGAGACTTGCCACGCGCCGAGTAAGCGCATAAAACTTTATGTCTCCGTCTCCGGATGCCGCAATGTAGAAACGAAGTGATTGCAACCAAATAAGACGATTTATTTAGTCCGCAATTTCTAATTGATGTCCTTGTTCCTGGCGAATCCTTAGTTTCTTATTGTAAAAACATTCTTCTGTATCACACATTTTCTCGTAACTTGGAACGCTTTTTAGAACATCAAATCTCTTGGAAACACGCGTTTTGCGGCCACCGGCCAGACCACCTGGCTGTCACAGTCTAACTTGGCAGTTACAAATTTCGGAACCCCCCTTTAAAAAAGTCCTGACTACGCCTGCTCCACCATATTATTACACCAAATTCGCCGGGTAAGAGTAAATATATAATTTTTTTTTATTTAATAACCCAACTTAGAATGAAATCATATACATGGTACGCGACAGAATAAAATTTCCACTGATCAACGCTATTGCATAGCATAGAGCGTGAAAACGTGTCGCAATCAAAAAAAGTCAGAATTGTTTGGGTAATGGCTGTGCGCGAAAGTATTGACAAAACCCCCATGAAGCGCGGGTAATATGAATTCCGTACAATTCCCCTTCAATCTCTTATGCATTGCACGAGTACAAATAGAGATTTGAGGCGAGCAGTATGGCGTGCTCGCTCACTTTCTTACTCGGACGCCAGCCTCATTTTTCGTTATTTCAATATTAAAAAAATGGTATAAATAAAACGAGCTGTACTTGATTATGTGACTCTCTTATCATCAACTGTCAGCGACTGCTCAAAAGTCGCTAAGGGCGCCTGTGAATTTCACGGGATTAATTTTGTTAAATTCGCCTATTGTTTTCAATAGTGTGGCGTGGTTATTTATCGGAGTGCAGACGTTAAGGATGAAGTGGGACAAATTGAAGTGGGACAAATCGAAAAACACCCCACATTTTGTTTTAGGAGCCCAGCGCCAGATGGAAACGCTGGTTTAGACACCGTAAATCGCCAAAATTTCGTGTACTATTACTACGGCACACATGTTTAGTTAGTTGCCTTTGGAAGCTACGGCATAGTCACTTAATTTGAAACACAGAAAATTGTGCAGGCGATGTATCCATTCTTGAATACCCCCCGGGCCGAAATAGAATATTTTCTCGAATTATGACGATATATAAGCTAATCAAAATATCAATAATATGGGATAATATGGCTGATCTTGGGATTTTTCTAACGGTGATATATTAAAAATAATATCAAGTGGCAGCACTGCGAATGAGCGGAGCAAATACAAAAATCGAAACTATATATGATCAGGCAGTTTCCCACGTTTTTATGTCCGTATATCGTCGTGGTATTTTAGGCTGTAGTACTGCTTTTGTTTGATCATGAGTTTGACCCAAGCTCGATTCAAATTTTCTGTAAATGCTTTTTACGGTGAACCGTAATTAATCTTAAATTCGCAGATGTTTAATCTGATGATTTTATTATGACAGTAATTTTGTGGCTCATTCAAACTGGACACGAAGTGGATCTATTGATAGTTTTGTTATTATGTTGTTGTTATAATTTTTCTTATTATCATTAGGAAAGAAATCACTTTTTTCTTTAAATACTCGGCGAATTAATTGCCTTGATTATTTCGCTGGTTGAAGATTGTATTTTTCGATATTATTCTTATTTATTTGTCAAAAAATTTGTGAGCTCTTTGGGATTATTTTTCTGTGTGTAATGACGTCATCAAAAATTGCGCACCCTGTGGCGTTTGTGTTAGTCGTGAAGTTTACGGTACGTTTTGGCCCCGTTTTTGCGCTGGTCGTGAAGACTGCCGTACCGATAAATGTAGTTGTGACAGATTGAATACCCGTACCACTTCGTGTCCATATATTTGAGCATCGCTTTCTTGTATTGAAAACAAATAAAATTTGAGATGTTTGGAAAAAATATCGGTTCTTCTCTTCAAGGCCCTCACCAAAGCATAAAATAAGAAAATTAGTAATTATCCAGTTGGGTTTTGGGTTGAGAATGCAGATTGTGTTGGAAATTCAGATTTCAAATCATTTCTAACTCCAAACCCTAATGGTTAATCACTAATTTTCTATTTTGAAACGTGGTGGGGGTGTTTTTCTCAAATCTCACATATTGTATTAGTGTCGGGGTACAAAAGATACAAAACATTATAGGGCGCTCCCGAACTATGGGCACCAAGATGGCGTACATCCTGAATCCTAACCTGGTACACATACTATGTTCAGGTTGTGCGCCATCTTGGTGCACATACTTCGGGAGCTCCATATTTAGTGCAAGGGTATATATAGGTATAAAGTTGAAAGCTACTTTTCAAATATAGAAATGTTTCACGGGGTAGCGCAAGTTTAATCGTTTGAAATCGGTATAGTCGGAGTTGTCGCGAAACCGTGTTATGAGGTATAAATCATAAACGCCTCGAGCAAATGTAACAACTAACAAGTTCTATGTACCACACGGTTCTATGGAATAAATAAAAAAAATTCATTACCTCATCCGACTGAGAATAGACTTTTGACTCGTCTGCAAGATCACAAATATCTACAAGACCACGATCATTTTACAATGGAATAATGATTGGCCAAGTCTAGTATAGGCTATCGATGTTTGGGATTTTATTTTGTGTTACTATATATTCTCATCGACCGATAAACTGATACTGACTGACACTATTGTCACCTAAAAGATAGTTATCCGAATAGCTACCAAACGTTAATTTTGTCCATTTCTGGTTGAAAAAAATCTCCAAAGTTTAAGGTATTTTGGATGGTTCCAGACGTTCTGCCCTTGTCAAGCAACCAAGTTTTTTATTAATGTATCTTGTTAGTTATCATCCATTTATTCCTGTGATGTCATCGGGGTATTTGATTGTATTAATAATATCTCAGGTCACATATTACGTTGTTGTATTGATGTTCTAATATCTCACCTGCCATTGCCGGGAAATTCCGATTTTAGTTTTACCCCCATTCATCACGAAATCAAAACGACACGAATATATTCATAAATTCAAGTTGCATGAGTGTTTTCATACTCGCGTGTTATTTGCACATCAGAAATGTATAGTAATTCCCAACCTGGGTTGACTATAGGACAAGCTGTCGTGGGTAGTCATGTAAATAAGTCTGTTCGTGGTAAATCCTCTCTAAACTTAATGCAAATGTATTTGGAATGCTATAATGAGTTAAGACGAAAACAGAATTGGGCATAAATTATTACCATGGTTGCCAAAATATATGTCGACATGATAGTGACATCTCGTTCAAGGCCAGAAGTTATTACATAAGGTTATTTTTCGCATAAGCTAATTCATAAAATTTACTAATGTCTATCGCTTTTTAAAGGCAAAAAAGGTTTTGCGGAAATCGAAAACACAGGTCAAATATCTGAAATGCCACGTTTATTTTTTACAGCGAATATATTTAGCTGAGTTTCGTAACAACTAACGCTGTCTGAGGTTTGATTTTATCAGAATCAATTTTAAACACTTCAAGCATCATTACAATATATATCTGATAACAAGCAGTGCTCACACGATAATCTGATTAAAGTAAAGATCATTTGACACAAAATGGTATAAAACGGCTACGAATATAATAAACACGGTCGAAGATTTTTCTATTTTCTTTATCAAAACAGCGGGTCGTGGGTTTTGTCGGGAACGTAAATGAATGCTCAGGAATGTTAAGTCTAAACATAGTGACATTCTTCTAAATATTTGAAACAAGAACAAAATTTGGTGTATGACTTTTCATTGCAAACCGAGAGCTTTAATTCAAAAGGACAAACGTGTCAAATAATCGTTTTGGGAAAAACATATATCTTTGTCTTTTGAACAACTGAATTTTATTGAAATAATCTGGTGAATATAGCTTCAAACTTTGATCAGAAAACCAGCTCAAAGCAGTTCTCTCTTTGTAATTTTTAAAATTATTTATTTTGAAAAATTTAAACATTCGCCCTTATGTATTGAAACAAGGTGCGTAGCCAAGATTTTCAAAAGGGAGGTTGTAAAATCGGAATTTCCTATACAACGGCTCCGATCACCCTAGTCGTCAAATTTCTGTTGCGGAAAATATTTAATCAATACTAACATTTAAAATGTCCTGCTGTGTTGTTTTAATAGTGTCAACGTAACCCGCGGTGGCGTCGAGGACAAAAATAAAACACTACTCGATAATATACCACGATAGTTCATGGACATAATCATGAGCGATAAATTACCCGTTATGGCTGTTAAAGATATCCCAAGCTCTGCGCAAAAATCCCAAAGACTACAATTTACTTTACAATAAAAAATTTGATTGAACATTGATTAGCTGGGAGAAAAGTCGACTGCGCCCCGATATTGAAGAAAGGATACAAAGGTACATCACGAGCACAAAAGAAATTTGAGTTGCGGATTCACTCATTTTATTATTGTCTGGTCACTGACGATTTTGCAGTGGACGTACAGTTTTAAAATTGTCAATTCTGATGTCAGCTTTATAAAGTTCGATTTGGAAGGGCAGACTGTAATTTTAGCTTTTATATATATTTTCCATTAAAAATCAACCAATATTTAAAACAAAAAGTTGTGTAAAATATTTAATGCTGGGGTAAATGTCTGTAATAAGTTTGGAGCGAATTTCAAAATTCAGGAATGTTGTTACAGGGTAACGTAGCTTAATTTGGAGCGTATTCTAATCAAATTTAAAACTGGTAAAATTAGTGTTACGGAGCTACTAATTATAAACACCTCGAGTAAATGTGGCAATTTCTTAGTGCCAAGCGATACTATTGTGTAAACTGTGAAGAAATTCGAACATTTTTACATCAACCCACCCAATTGTCTCAGTGCGCGCCTGCCTTCATATTGTTTTGCAAAGGTATAAAACAAATATCTGCAAAATCACAATGATTGTTCCCGCAGTTGGGCCTGGTAAAATTTAACGTTTGATTCATCAGTGCATTTATAATGCTGAATCACAGTATTGTTGTTTGACATCATAACATTAATTATAGTGCTGTGATGAGGTATTTGGTTGTATTAATATTTGGGCTCAATAATGGGTCACCTATTACGTCGTTTTATAGATGTTGTGACCTTTCACTTCATTCAATTGATATTCAGAAACAACCTGCACAGCATCCGCGAATTGCCCAGCAAATAATATGTGCGCTCAGGACGAGACAGGCACTGTTTGTGCTTGTCCATTTGGATATACAGGAGATGATTGTATGGAACGTGAGTATTCTTCGATGTTTTGTTTGCATTTCTCTGAATTTCGACCTGGTCTAGTTTAGTAATGTGAGACACAATTATATTGTTCAACAGGACGAAGTGGCATCGACGACAGATGCCCTTTTCCCGACAATCTGATTGATATTTGCGCCATTCCCCAAATAGACTTCCAATGTTCTGAAAATGTTAACAAATGCCCGGATGGAGAAATATGTTGCCCAGGAGCAAATGGATGTTCAACCAACTGTATTCCAATAGGTCAGTGCTATAGATACTAATATCTTTTATGTTCACTACTTTATCAGGAGTATTTGCTTGTGTTATGAGTTTAGCGGTTACTTAAACCAATATGGATATGGTCCCAATAGTTATGACCTCTGCTATAAAGGACACATTGATAAACCCTATTTGATAACATTAATTTTTATTACACACAATTCACCGGGTTAGAATATATATTTCTTTCATCAGGTTCAGATTGAAATCATGGCCATAGTAACGCCATAGAATAAAAGTCGCATTGATTAATCAATGCTATTGCACAGACCATGAAAACATGCCAAAATCAGAAGCAGCTCAGATTCATTGGTCAAATGTAATAAGAGTGTTATAATACGAATAAAACAGCATTAAGGGTGAAAAATAAATATTACAATGGCTTAGATAGTGTGATCATACATGATAGTGAGTGACTGCTAGTTCAGGGTTTCGTTATATGCTAATTTGTTTAATCACGAACACACCAAATATCTCCGATGCCACATTTTTTTTTCCAGTGATTAATAATTAGCTCAGTTTTGATTTTATCGGAATCAATTCTAAACACCCCAAGCATTACCATAAATTTTCAGTAACAAAAAGTACTCGATAATCTCACAAAAGTGAAAATCCTTTGACATGAAATTATATAAAACGACTACGAATATAAATAAACACGACCGAAGCTTTTTCTATTTGCTTTAAAGCAGTGGGTTGTGTCGGGAACGTGTACGATAAATGAATGCTCAGGAATGTCAAGTCCAAACATTGTGACATTCTTCTAAATATTTAATACAAGGACAAAATTCGGTGTGAAGGATTAAACCGAGAGCTTTAATCCAAAAAGGAAAACCTTTAAAAATAAACGATTTGAGAAAAACATATATATACTTATTGCTTAGGAATATCAATTCTATTATACCAGTATGTTTGAAACCGAGTGATATCTGTCTATAAGCAGACTATCTCGCGCATTTATGATATAACTTTTCGTAGGGTAGGATTAAGTTAGATAATTTCCCATTTCATCTTGATACTAAAACGTTAGCGCTAAATGTAATGAAATATTGTTATTATACAGGTTGTAAAGACCCCGTTGATCGTAAAACATGCACCGATCACAACAAACTCTGCATGGACGACGATTCTACTACAGGTTTCAACTGTCGATGTCCTTTCGGATACAGCGGAACCATGTGCGCCACACGTAAGTTTTCATGCTCAATTGAATACCGAATCATTCTTCATAATATCTTTGGGTTTTCTAAAAAAAAACAGACTGACCACAGCTGCATAGTTAATGTAGTGTATTTCATAATCCAAAATTATATATTAGTAAGGAAAAAATTAACAGCAGAATGGTTAGCAATAGATAACATATTTTACTCATTTTATTTCAAAACCGACTTTTTTATGCAAAACTACAGTGATTTCGAACATCTGAAGAAAATAAAATATTTAAATCAAGAAGTATATTTTCGTTAGAAATTATAAATGATAAAGATAAACACCTGGTGCCTTTTTCAAAACAAGTTCGGACTATTCAAATATTATTCGATATCTCCCCGTACTCCGCTAAACAGGAGGTAGAAATACTGCTCATTCATTAGTGAACTGGCGGTCCAAAAGGCTAATAAGTATTTATTAATCATCCAGCATTTGCCGGTTTTGATGAGGAATGTTCATTTCCCGAAGTTCCTGGAGATACTTGTGATGAGTTTGAAACCACCCCGACCTGTACGAAAGCTGACGATTGTGAAGACGATGAAGTATGCTGTTCAACAGGTTGTGGAACGGCTTGTGTGGATCTTTCAGGTAAGCAATTTAAGGCATCGCAGAATTCAGGTAATTTGCGATATTTCTCCACTCGAGTTAGTTGTATGAATCAATAATAAACATCACTTCACTACAAAAAGGCTGAACAAGGCCCAGGAAATATTATTTTCTGTTTTCGATGCGTTGCCGCAATGTGATTACATGTAGAATGGGCAAACTCAGAAATTGGGAATTTGAGTAGGGTATGCAGAACTAAGCTGTTGGTGCTTGGCTTGACTTTTTGAAACAAAATAAATAAACTTATAAACCTGTTTTTGTTTCAGATCCAAAACCACCGGGAAAGAAGATTGACTTTGCATTAATTGCACTGCTTTTGTCCACACGCCGACAGCGACCTCCTGTAGCACCAGTAGTCCCAATTCATCCAGTAGTCCCAATTTATCCAGTATCCCCAATTTATCCAGTTTCGCCAATATTACCAGTGGCACCAGTTCGTTGCCCGTCAAATCGATGTGTTTGTTCAAAGAACCTCGGTGCAATTTGTGAACCAAGTATAGGAGGTTGCGTCAATATCCGTGATCAGCACACCAGGAAACTCATCACGCCATTATGTAAGTATACTTGATTCTAGGAATGTACTATTGGGGGGAAATTTACGATCTTAATCGGTGATTGGTCATTGAAAATTGTCATTAATAAAAATCGGGCAGGACATCACACCTGAAACACCTATAGAGATAGTTATGTTATTTTGAAATTTTTTTTCTAAAACTGAGCCCAATAGTTAATGTTTCTCACGTTATTAATTCGAAACGAAGTCAAACCAGTTAATTTGGACTTTTTTTTCAATAGTGTCATGACCTGCTTTTTCACCAGACATGATTGAGTTAAATAGCCCCGAGCAATTTCACCACAGCTATCCATTTTTAATATATTTTATCCCAGTTCTACGCGTGATTAGGACATTTTCATGCGTTGGGTATTTAGTAAATAAATTGGTCATTGTTCAACATTTATTTATCATATTGTACTGCGATTGTATTGTATTGCAATCGTATTGTACCGCGATCGTAAGCTGATAAATAAAGACATTGCCTCGTTAAAGTGTCTGGCAAAGACTTGGAGGATTGGGCAGTCGATGCGCTGCTGTTGATACTCGTCGTTTAATGACAGACGATAAGCTGTCGTTCACAAACCAATATACTTTTTAATAACCTTAACATACGCCTTTCCAACTAGTAATAAGGGTGATAGTTTTCGCCAAATCAGTTCCAACATTTTTCATTACGTAGCCTGAGACCCCAGAAACTGACTCGCAAAAAGCAGATAAAGCAACATTTTATTAAACTAAAGATCTCAGCGTTTAAACGAGCCGGAACAATCATGCGCTTATCACTTTCTTTGTTTTACAGGCAAATGCAATCCAGGTTATCAGATATACAGCCCTTGCTCTAAAGATAAATGTCTCGACATGTATGGAAGACGATTAGTGTGCCCGGGTCATCCGAATGCTAGATGTCGCGTGACTCAGTGTGGAAGATGCCAGGCATATTGGATGGATATTTATACAGGGAGACAAGTTACATGCCAAAGAATACAACCAGTAAACCCAGGTACTAAAAACTAAACAATATTTCACAGCAGTGTTTACCAACCCGAGTCCGCGTAGCGTTTGAATGAGTTCGCAACGAGCCAGAAATTCACTGCGGGCCGTAAACGTTTTTGCGAAAGTTAACTATCAGCCACGTTACGATTTACGCTAAAATTCACATGAAACATAGAAAGCAAGTTTATTCACATAACATTAAATCAAGTCAATTATTACTAGTGACTGATTATGGCTGGGCATATATTCGAATATTCAACTATTAGAATCGCAATTCACTATTTGAAAATTTGGTAACAGGTGACTCGACAGGTCAAAACGATTGGATTTCACAACTCACTTGCGAATTCCAGACGAAAACACGAGCACACGCGTGGTGTTTCTCCCGAGTTCGAACAAAGAGGATTCAATTTTTTTTCTAGTAGGTGTCAATGGTGGCAACTCAAATTTTCTAAATTGAAAAGCGACAATACAAAATACTAAAAATAAAACGGAGAACACCATAACTTTTGTTTTGTGATCGTACGCGACCGATTAAAACGCTTCTTTAGACATTGCAAATCACAAAATTTCGGGTGATACTGTAGTATGTGTACCAGGGCATTTTTCCTTAGGCCTCCACATTGGTACGTACAGTACTGGAGCGCCGTAAGTGTTGTATGAACGGCTCAGATTTGTTGAATTCACAAAAATACGAATCAAAACAAAATATAATTGGGCACTTTACCACGCATTTTTGTGTCCACGGATTGGCATGATATTTTCTGATTAGTATTGCTTTTATTTCGTCAACACAACCGCAGATTAAAATAATCAACATTAAATTAATGATATAGCAAGGCGGTGAATATGTATTTTGGATTTACTAATATACTTCGAATATATTTTTAATAAGTACTAAATCAAGTTGTACTTTCTGGTAATTTATAGCAGATAATTGGATTTTTCTAACGACGATAACAAATTTGCAAGATCTCTAAAAATATGTATCAAAACTAAATATAATCGGACAATAGGTTAGCAGATTGCTGTGGCATTTTAAGGAAGTAATGCTATCTATCATCTTGTCGTAAGTCGACGCAACCGCGAGTTACCATGAACACAATTAAAATAGAAAGACATTTTAAATTCTCGTCGTTGTCATGGATTGAATATAATGCGACAGAAAAGGCCATTATACACTAAAAAAGTCGGCTCTTTAAACGGACGCGTAATTGCAGCGAATTTCCGATTTTAAAATTCGTTCAAATCCCGTTGTGTTTGGTTTTATTGCTTCTTCACACAGAGTGCCAATAAACGCACCTTGAGTCCGCAAAGGTTTTCGCCGATGAGAAATTAGTTCGCGACCAAAAAAGGTTGGAAAACGCTGTTTCACAGGTTAAATATAAGGTACTCCCAAAGTATGTGAACCAACATGGCGGACCGGAACTCGTATGTGTACCAGATTGGGGTTAGGCAATAATTTTATCCCAATTTTAGTTCTATTACCAGTTCGGGGAATAGTCAAGTGACCCCCGTGGTATTTATACCTGAAATTATGGCCTAACTCTTACCTGGTACACGTACTACGTTCCGGTGTCCGCCATTTTGGTTTCCATACTTCGGGAGTACCAGATAGAAAGCCATAGCGCTGTGAATTACCTTATCAGACTGAATTTCACAAACGATTAATTTCGACTCCAACGCTCGGCTTTGGGGAACGAAATTTGAAAAGTTCTCATTAAACACGAATCCTTAGCATGATAATTTCTGAATATTAATTGACATGCGAGTAACCGCGCAGAAACACAGAGCCATATCCTTGCTCCATCTAATTTCTGAACTCTGAAGTTGATCAATTAAGAAGTAGCATTGGGAATGCTTGTAAGTAAATGATAATTCTGGATCATTGCGCTTCATTGAATGGGATATGGGAGGCCTGAGTGGTAGCAAATTAGGCCAAACGTTCATGAATATGATAAGATTATTCATGAAGAATCATTGATGTTAGGTATTTCAAATAGTATATTCCCCAATTTATCATTTAACATATTTTAGGTGCAGCATGTGGTCCCGGAGAGATTCCGGTTCTAGGATGTCCAGATGTATGTCAACATACTAAGTGCCCGAATTATCAGTATGCAACTTGTACGGTTCGAGCTTGTAATGGGTGCACAGCAAGATACACCTACCAGGAAAGAGATGTCACGGCAGGTTGTCATCAAGTCGTGGGATAAGAATGGCTGGAAAAACACTCACACTGGACTGAAAAACACTTTAAAACCACAAAAAAACTATTTTGAGCTAATAAGTCTGGTTTATATAAGAACGCAATAAAACTTGAATCCAGCAACTGACATTCCTTTTTTTCCTGGAAAATTCAGTCGTGACGGTCGTATTTGGTACTCCCTAAGTATGTGAACCAACGTAGTATGTGTACCGGGTTATAGTTGGGCCATAATGTTATTCCCATTTTCATTATTTTAGTTCTATCACGAGTTCGGAGATTAGCCAAATAACTCCCGTATTATATGTACATGAAATTATGGCCTAACCTGGTACACATACTATGTTCCGGTGTCCGCAATCTTGGTTTGCACATTTCGGGAGTACCCCCATTTATCTGTATTATACACAGAAATCTTTTCAGCTTGAAACAGTTTTTAGACCCTCGTCAAGACCATTGAAATCCCACGAGTTAAGAATCTTGAAACACACTCGGACCCGCTTGCTTTTACGGTCAAACTTGGTCATTAGGAATTTCAGAACACCATTTTGAAAATTACTGGCCACGCCCCTGTGAGCAGCTCCGGGCAAAATTAAGTCAAATCGCTCATGCAACTACACAATAAACCTGAACCTACCCCTTTTCTGGCCGTTTTCTTAAATCTATTGGCATGGTTCATTCACACACAAAAGTTTTTGTTACCCATGAGGGCCTAAAACTTCACTGTGGGATTTTAGAATTTCATGATTGTGCTCTGTTCATCGAGATGGAGCTAAAGAGTAAATCGAGATCAATAACTTACGTGTGCGATCTGATGCTAAAAATAGTCACAAATTTCCTTTCTTTAAATAGTGTACATAGTAAAGGCTTTACATTGTAATGTATATTGATGAAAAATTCAGTATTCATATATCTTATGTGACATTTGATGAATAATTTGGTTCTTATTTGTCAGCCTGTCAAGAGTTGCTTTTTTGGTGTTTTTATGAACTTCAACTGTTCATGAATAATTATCTTAGGCTCATTTAACGCTCTTTAATCGCAGACAGAATATTTTAATAAATATATTGTTTGGTGAAGTATTTCTAATAGCCGTTGTGGTCTGGTTCAACATTCAAGCAGCGGTCCGCACGTATCGTCCGATTTCTATCGTCTGTCTCTGCTTGTCTAGGCTCTGTTCTGAGCAAAAATTTAAATGCCTCACGTCGAATTGTGGTACTAAATAACTGAGTACTGAAAGACTTGTATTTAAACGAATTAAGTCTTCATAAGTGTGGTATTATACTTCAACCATTGCTATACCTAAATTAATAAAGGCGTCCCGGTAACCCCGAATTATGTGACCCAAGATGGCGGACTTCGGAACGTAGTATGTGTACCAGGTTTGGGTTAGACCATAATTTTATTCCAATCCCCCTTATTTTAGTTTTATTAGGAGTTCGGGAACTAGCCAAGAGACTCCCGTAGTATCTGTACCTGAAATTATGGCCTAACCCTAAATGGGTATGCATACTACGTTCCGGTGTCCCAATCTTGGTTCACATACTTGGAGAGTACAGGCGTCTCTGCTTGTATGGTGCCTAAGTTGAGTGAGAACCCAGAATACCCATGTGGAAAGTGAGCATTTGTACCTTACTCACCTTCATATATCGAATAAGTCTAGTACTATATAGCCATTGCTATATCAAAAAGTGTTGCCGATTGTCTGGGCCTTAGTCTGGAAGAAAAGCTAGAACGCTTGGATAAAAATGTGGTGCTAAAATGTGTTATTTTATGCGTGGTGTTCCATCGTTAATATTGGGTGAATAAGTCCATTTTTGCCTGTCTAGGGCCTCATTTTTAGCGAAAACGTATAACGCCTTGCGTAAAAAGTTTGGTACTGTCAGTTGCCAAACGGTGGATTTAAAATATGCTCCATTGAGAGTAATATATCCGGTTCTGCTTATAAGCCTTGCTATGAGCGAAATGGATTAGTTACTCATGAGAAAGCAGACAAGCTTTAAAACCAATAAATATTCCTACATAAGTACGCCCTGATGACGTTTTCGTCGATTGTATTTAATTTTCTTGCTAGCAATTTCAATTGATTTAGAGCTCTGTGTAAAAATCCCGTGAAAAGAGATGTGAATTGTTTTCGCTCTTCGTCGTCATCAAAGAGGATCAATTATATTTCAAAAAGATTTTTACGTCTTTGTGCCTTTGCAGTGACGTATATTTTGGATGACGTAATCAGGTGGGAATCATGAATGCAATGTGCAAAAAATGCTTCGTGAGCTAGATATGGCCGTGGGTGTGTTGATCTGCTACAGCAGTGGTTCTCAAACTTTTTGAAAAGTTATGGTCCCCCATAACAGTCCCTTTCAATTTTTCTGATCACTCGCGGTCAACTAAAGAAATGATACAAATAGCAACGCGGTATATCAAGCATTCATTTATTTATAGCGCCATCTTAGCGAAATCGGGATAGGACAGTGCCACTGTGGTTTTTCTTTTTCCAGAACTTATGACAGTATAACCGAATTTCACATATGAATCGTTATATATAAATTTATTTCTTATGGCGGGGGGCATTTTTGAATTGCCCCGTGAAAATTTACATCAGATGCACACGCCTTCCATAACCAAAACGCTCTGATTTACGGTACTTACTAGAGATGTACCGATGTATCGGTATCGGTATCGGTAATTTTTTCGGTATCGGCCATGTATCGGTATCGGTTAATGTAAGGCCGATATTTCCGATATATTTATCTTTTCGATATGGTCCAGGATGTTTTAAGAGATAAGTTGGAATACTACTTTTCAATTTATTTTTTGTCTGGAGAGATCGTGAGCTATGTGAGAGAGATCGTGAGCCATACATGTCCCCACCCCCGCGAGAGAATAGGATTCACGTGTTTTTAGCTATTCATCAGCCAAACTAGCTCAACTAATTTGGCTATTTTTGCTGTCAAATTTTAATATTGACATTTTTAATATTACATAGTAATTATGAAGAAATATATCAACACAGCACATAACAAAAAGCAACTAGGCGCCCAGTTTCAAATCATACAGTGGAATTGGGATCCTTATTAAGGGCACATGGACTTTTGGCACGGGTATAAATTCTGACTGTTTGTCGTCAAGTCACGAGTATCATTTAGTCCGTCGACATCGATAAACTAAATACCGAAATTCAAAATATATGATAGCAATCGTAAAATATTTTATATTATAAAATAGTAAAGTAAAAAAACATCCTCGACGGTTATAGGTAGGCCTTCTTTTTGTCGGTGCTAATTGATATCCTTTCATTTTGGCTTTGACTTATTGCGTCGACGATTACGATTAGCCACGAAATAAAATATTTGTAAAATGCTTTTAATTTGAACGTAGGACGGCGGCGCTAGAATGTGTGGGTGATATTCGATATTCTTTTAAACACGAATAACGATATTCGAAGGTCGCGATATTCATATTAAGTCCAAATTGGACATCCGGGCTTATGAGTTTTCTAATTGAACACCGAGATTACTAGCGTTACTGTACAATGTATCTTAATCAGTAGAAGCAAACACCAAACATTAATTTCATATTATGTGATATATCTTTTTTTTCGATCTGAAATAATGTGTACTATGAACAACGCTCAAACACCATTGTTTTAACCCGTCTGCCCTACACAGCACACCTAATTAAGTAATAATTACATAGTATCGGTATCGGAATATCGGCCTTTCTGTAGTATCGACATATCGGTATCGGCGTTTTTAGATGGTATCGGATCGGCATCGGCGACAAAAGTGGTATCGGTACATCTCTAGTACTTACCACGTTCATCAAAGTTTGTTACGTAATAATGTCTTTGGTAGAGCGGGTCGTGCTTTGGAGAAACACTGTAAAAGCATGACATCAAAACTTTGTACCGAGGTTGAAGTTGTCTCGCGGTCCCCATAAAACCGCTTCGCGGACCCCTAAGCGACCGCGGACCCCAGTTTTGCAAACCAATGTGCTACAGTATCACAACAACCTTACATGCGGAACTTTTAAACGTTTTCTTACGTGATATGTATGGAGTAAAATGGCAGCATTGTTTCTGTCACACTAGGCTCTTATTATTCTGGCTATTCACGCTTCATTAAACACAAACGAGTAGGTTAACAAACCCGAAAAGTTACCGGTAATAAACATCAATGGGTACCTGCTTTCAATTTGTTCTTGCAATTTCATTCCACCAAGTTGTAGCGCAGTTGATTGGTAATCCATTCACATACTGACATAATGTATAAATCCATAAAACACTCAAATACCATACACCTCTGAATTCACCCTGACCTGTCTCAGATTAAAAACTGCTAGCTGAAAATATTATTTTTACCGTTGCCAGATATTTATCAGAGTAATCAATGATCAATAAAAGGTTGCTGAGAAGATTCAGGCCAGGCGTGAGCGTTAGTCGTTGGGCGTGAGTGATTGTAGTTGTCACAAGAAATATACTTTCATGCGCAATTAATATATTTATCAAATTTTGAGTACTGGAAGATGAAAAAAGGTGCTAGGAGGCGTTACTTTTCGGTTTTTCTTCGGGACTCGATGTTTTTAAACGAGAACCGTTTTCATTCAACCGACGTTAATATTCCCGATCCTTATTTTCTTGTTTTTTATTACTTATGATAACATGAACTAATATTGAATGTTTTTGAAGATTGCAGTCTATGTATTTTAGCTTGAAAGTCCAATCTAAAATTTTGGCTTTCTATAGATATCCTTACTTGTAGGTTTGTCTGCTCCCTTGATTTTGCAATAAGTTTTTATTTGTTTACTTTCATCGAATATTTTGTTGTTTATTATGATGATTATGGATTTGTAATAAACTTATAAATAAAGAAATTTTCCAATTCCCAATTTCGATTGGTCAGATCCAGTGGTGGGATTCAAATTTTTTGTCAGCCGGTTCCATCACACAAATGTCATATTTTTCAGCCGGTTTTGTTACAAAAAGTCATGTTTTTTTTCAGTAATGCCAACCGGTTTGCTGATCTTATAAAATTCCGTGAGACGGTTCTATAGAACCGGTGCAAACCGGCTGAATCCCACTACTGGTCATATCCAGTGGTGGGATTCAAAGTTTTTGTCAGCCGGTTCCATCACAAAAGTCATATTTTTCGGCCGGTTCTGTTACATGTTTTTTTAGTAATGCTAACCGATTCGCTGATCTCATAAAATTACGTGAGACGGTTCTATAGAACCGGTGCGAACCGGCTGAATCCCACCACTGGTCATATCCCACAGAGAGATATTTTCCCCTCGCCCATAGAGTGAGTGACCGGTGTTTCATAATACTATTACAGGTATCAGCAGTGTTAACTCTAAGGAAATTATGAGTGCGAAAGTGCTTCGCAGTCGAAAAAAAAAGTGCGAAAGTGCTTTTTCTGATTTTAACTAGTTAGGTGCCCTAGCTTTCGTTTAAACTCATTTCAAACAGCATAGATACTCGAAAAAGCGCTCCTTCCGTTAATATTGTGAATTGAAGTCTTTCCGTTTACGGAGTTTCGTTTAAACTCTTGTTAAAAACAAGCGAATTCATCAAAGGACACCTGATAAGCACACTTGTCGGGAATAAAAGTTTCGTGCAATCAACCACCAGCGTCAGTAAGGAAGCGCACTCCCGTCTGAACAGACAAGCCTTGCAAACTTGTATCTTCCATCTAACAGACACCGATTGATAAATGCA